AAAGCACCGAAATGTGCGCTGCTTTTCGGTCTGGTTACTACCGTTTATGACAGATACCGGTACCCATCCCTACTGTTGAGTTTTATATGATCTGCCTGCATCTGTCACACATGTGTGCAACTTTGGAGATGAGTAATAAGAGGAAACGTAACACTCTGGGTGACTCTGTAAGAGGCACAGCACATGAACTTGTTCTTGTACCTATACTGTAACGCGTAAAGCCTACTTCTTGCCAAAATGATAATGCATGTGATTAATTGTCGCCGTTATCGTGTGATTCATTTCACTGTTGCAGTTACTTTAGACTGAAATGGCATTTTGTCATGAGTCAGTGGGATTAAATGCATCATCCAGACACTGCTATGTAAACATCATTAAGAAGTTGTTTGTCATTGCCCTCCAGGCTTGTTGGCAGTGTTTTAAATGACACTGTCAGCACATCTACAGAGAGAAACATCTGAAAAAGAAGCAAAGGAGAAACGTTTTCCACTGGTGACGTTTTGGTAAAGATGAAATGGATTTTATTTATCCGCCCTGTGTTGGTAATGTTTGCAGTTATCCCGAGAGAACGAGCTGAAGCTAAACAGTCCGCTTTGTGTTTTCTTAACAAATGATCCTGGTGAGTGATCCAAAGTACACCAGTGCATTAATGCTCGTTTACTTCTAATAGGTGCATAAATAAACTGTGATAAGCTTGAGTGGCAATGTAAACCTGTAAGGATCTGGTGTTTGACGTTACACCCTACACCAGTCTGCATGTTTGTTATTCCCGTGTTCCCACATGATGTGCTGTCGTAAAGTCACAAAAGTAACTCTGTGTGCGAGGTTGTGTTTTCTCTAATGTTTCCCAGGATGAGCTTCAAGCTGGACTTCACATGGCAACAAGTGCAGAGAGTGGGTTGGTATGTGGGCTACCTGTGCTTTGAATGATACAGCCTCATCGTGTTTCCATGGTGCTAAAATTAGGCCTATCAGTGGAGATCTGGGTCAATGACATGTGCAAACACCGGTCAAGGTTTGTTTTAGTCCCCCTTGGAGATGGGTCTGAGGCTTTGGACACAAAGTGTGATTCTGCACACACTGCTAATGCAATATGTTGCAATATGAAGCAGTATAGCCTGGATGTTAGTCTTCATCGTTTTATGCAGTGCATGGTTCAAAATCTCTGCACAGCTGAATGAACGGCCGAGGTTCCAGCGAGTGTGGGGGGTTATATAGCACAATACAGGAACATTTCATTTGAAGAACAGCTTTTGCAGGTTTTCCACAGAACAAGGAAGTGATGTACCCTCTAGACACGGAGCAAATATTTGAATAGTGTTCTGGACACATAAAATTCGATTAGCATGGGAAACTGCTTGAGTTGAACAAAAAAACCTCTCATCATCCACCTGAATGAAACGATGAGACCGCAGAGATGTTCATTGCAGTATGACGGTGTTATCTGTCTGTCACACATGTGCTGTCATTAGTGGGATAAAAAACCCTCTGCACTCCCGGGCAGAGGAATACAAGCGTTTCACCCTGTTTGTTCATACTAAGACATCCTTGACCTTTGGCAAAATGGCTCCTATGAGGCTTTTAAAACAGCCTCTTCACTGATAACAGAAGCATAAAGCTGTGTGCACAAGAACAGGTTTAGCGGAGGCAGCTGTTAGGCTGTAGTCAACAGGAGTCATTTACATTGAGGGGTCACATCTCGGGCTCTGAGGACACGAGCGTACTCCAGGATTTGTGTTCCTGAGGTAATTGGATGACTGAGACGGGCTGCTCGAGGCAGCTTTGTTTTTCTGATAGCTTCAACAAACAGCAAGCCTTAAACAAAGCCCACTAAGTGGGGAAATAGTCGATAGTTGGTCAAAAGTAAATTCAAAGCTTAAGTCTGAGTGCAGTGGCCAATGTTAGGGGGGGCTTTTGCAAAGAAGCTCTCTGAACAGCAGGTAACTGGTATCCAAATCAAGTAGCAGTAGCAGTAAGTTATCATGCATTTCAGCATTTTCAAGTGGAGCTGGTACTTTCTATAGTGAAGGCAATATTTATTGTTGCTGCTGTGTTTAAAGCAGTGCCATCACTGTGATCTAAGAATTGCATTAAAGTACATATCCTGAGTATGTTGACCCACGCACGCATCCATCCATGCTTCGTTCATTTCAGGATTACAGGGGGCTGGGAACCTGCTGCCATAGGGCAGGAGGGAGGATATACCCTGGACAGGTTATCAGTGTCTTGCAGGGCTAGCACTCACAGACAGACAACCATTTGCTTTCACATTCACACCTATGGGCAGTTTAGGGTCACCAGTTAACCTTGCTGCACCGACTGCATGTCTTTGGACTGTGGGAGGAAGCCAGAGTACCTGCAGAGAACCCACAAACATGGGTGTGCAAGCTCAGAAATACTGGCCAGGTGCTGGATTTAAACGCAGGACCTTCTTGCTGTGAAGCAACAGTGTTAACCACCGCAACACTTTTCTGCAGCAGCAGGCAGAAGCAGCTTAAATACTGTGGCCTGTATGGGATTTGCCAATTGGATGTATAGACGTTTATCAGCTGATGTGGGCTGGCACTGAGATGAGCTGATCTGCCAGGATTACAGCTGAGCTTGACTTCATGATGCTGCCTAAACGAACGCTGCGCATGTTACTTGGATACCGTGTAGTCTTGATATTCGCTCGAAGTTTGAATTCAGCGTTTCCAAAACGTAACCGTTGACCCACAGATACCTGAAATAAATGCTTTTTTTCTGTGTTCACTAGTACTCCTGTTTGTTTGACTGGAAAAACACAACCAAGCAAGACTATAAATATAACTTTATTGTGTCTCAATAAACAAAAGGCATCTGTTCACTCACTGATGGCTGCCGAGTGAGCCGATCGAGACCTTTAGATACCACGGGTTGCTAAGGAACATGAATTCACACGTAGCCCCTTCTCTCGGCAGCAGCTGTGCCTCTTTAGAGCCCGCTAATGCATTCAGCTCAAACTGCCCAGGACCACGTGAACCACATTCAACAGCCGCTCTTCTGTAGCGCTGCCTAAGACAAAAGGCCTCAGCCGTCTTCTTAAGTTCGGGGCCAGATAGATTGGTAGACATGCTGCGTACAACTGTAGTGTTATTACAAGATAAACACAGACAAACACAAAGACGGACCACAAAGCGTGCTGTTGTCTTTGACTAAATATGTGGACTTATCAGGACTCTGCAGGACATCTGCTGCTGCCCTTGAGTTGGCTTTCATTGTTTCAGGGTCTGGTCAAATCAGGCAGGACTCTGTAAAACTGAGTGTTAATCATATAATTCCGGCAATTTTTGTAATGAAGCACCTGCCACAGTTTCTTTTCATATTCAAACGCTGTAATAGAGGCAGGGTGTTAGCCCTGCGACAGACTGGCGACCTGTCCAGGGTGTACCCTGCCTCTCGCCCTATGACAGCTGGGATAGGCTCCAGCGCCCCCCGCGACCCTGAAAAGGATAAGCGGAAGCGAATGGATGGATGGATGGATGTAATAGAGGCAGAATCACACTGTACATGTAATGTAGTGGACTGATGGGCTACAGTTTCTTTTTCCTGTCAATATGTAGCCAGGCATTGGTGACTGGAGTGTGGTGGGGAAAACTGAAACCTTCAGCGTAAACATCAGGATTTGCTGATGTTTATTGCGATGTATCAATCGCTCAGACCAGAGGAGATGGAATTTCTTTCTAGATGGCAAATCATACCCGGAAAATCTATGAAAGAAGAGACAGCCAGACCAATTTCTCTGCTGACAGTAGCTCGAGAAGTCCGTAATGCAACACAGCTATGAAACAAGTAGTGCTTTGAGTCTGCAACAGGACTCTCAATAGATCTCTTATCTTACAATCACAGTTGGTATTGCTTTGAATTATTGCTGTGAGAGGATACAAGCGCAGTCTTTGTAGATACAGCTGGTCAGGTGAGGAAAACGCTAATCGCTAACTGATGTAAGCCTGACAAGCCGAGGGAAAGCGGGTACATCAGGAAGATGGATTATTCCCCATAACCACAAAATACTGGAATGTTTAAACACAAATACAGAAACTTCTGGAAGGCATTTAGCATCTCAGTAACGTATTGAATATCAGATCAGTCGAATTTCGAGGATTCTCTCCTTCAAAGCTAAAAACTTCCTCTCAGCTCGGCTGCAGAATACTAATTTAGTCGTTCTAACCTGGCGGTTAGTGGCCGTGGAAAATCTGTGAAAATTGCTCAAGTGCATGTTTCTAGTAGCTGCTCAAGTGCTGCGGTCACACTCCTCTCACTCAGACTCCATTCAGGCACTTCTGCTGCCCATGCATTTAATTATCAAGTCAGTCATGCCTTCCTCTGCGAGTCTTCTTCATTGCCGGAAAGCAGCCATCGAATTTAGTCTTATTTAGTCTTGCTAGAAACTTGCAATTGACCTGTTTGGTTGGTTATTGGACTGCAAGAATTATACCTTAACGTCAGTGTTAATTGGGTCGAATAATGTATATGCAATATGTTCAAACAGCATCATACTTCACACGGCTTCTGCTGAGAATTTGTGGTCACAGATGTCCAACAGAGTGTCTCACGGCCAACGCGGACCATGTAATACAGCCATTAGATTTCAGAATGGCTGTTTGTCTGGGAACAGTTCGTTTTGTGAGTAACTGAAGAGCATCATTTGTCTTGGACATGTGTTTTTGAAAGTTTTCAGCCTGCAGGCCCAGTGTGATTATTGCTGATTAGCTTATTACTCTTCTACTCACAGATAATGAACAAAGAACCAAATCCTAGATGATATTTCCTTATCTGATGCTAACTGCATTGCTGGAACCTAACCTCCTGCTCCTAATTAGGACGTTTTTTTTGGTTTGTTTTCAATGAAATTCATGTTCTGCTCTTTTGTCTCTCGTTGCCTTAGACTCCCTTGGTGGCCCATTCCCGTCCACGTCACATCGATGTCACCACAAACCCAAGAGGTGCCTGCCTATCCACTGCGGCAGTGTCGGTGGGCCTCTCCCCATCAGCCCACTTCTATTCCATCCAAATGCCAAGGGGTCCCAAATTGTCATGGACCTCGCCCAGAAGACAGCAAAGAGGCAGGCCAGTTTCTGCAATGCCATCACCTTCAGCAACCGGCCCATTGCGCTCTATGAGCAAGTCCGCCTCAAGGTACATTTTTCCCAGAGTGGAGCACTTTTCCTCTCGAGTGTCCGAGAGCTTTTAAACTGTCAAAACTGTTGTCTTAGTTTTATCTTAGCTTGACAGTTAAAAGGTTTTGTCCCCTAGTGTAAACTCAAATTTGCTTTCTGTGTTTGATAGATGTGATGCAGTTATTGATTTAAAGCCTCGTGTCAAAAAGCAGACGTTTCTATTTATGGCAACATTTTTATGATTTGATATTTTTCACGTACCAATGAGTTTTCTTCTTTGCAGATTACCAAAAAGCAGTGCTGCTGGAGTGGGGCTCTGCGTCTGGGTTTCACCGCTAAAGACCCCTCCAGAATAAACCCAGACAACCTTCCCAAGTACGCTTGTCCTGACCTGGTGTCTCAGAGTGGCTTCTGGGCCAAGGCGCTGCCCGAGGAATTTGCCAACGAGGGCAACGTCATCGCCTTTTGGGTGGACAAGAAAGGGAGAGTCTTCTACCGCATTAACGAGTCCAGTCCCATGCTGTTCTTCAGCGGGGTCCGCACGGCCGAGCCCCTCTGGGCCCTCATCGATGTTTACGGCCTGACCCGCGGCGTGCAGCTGCTAGGTAAGAACATGGTGGATGGAATGAGGCGATGCCAGCCAACCCAAAGTTACCAGATGATGAGTTAAAATGAAAATGCAGATTAGAGTGTAACAGGGCGTGTGACAAGTTATGTCTGGAGTCACTGGTTTGGCAAAGAAACACTTGTAAAATCTCAACTTTATTTTTTCACACTGCTTATGAAATTGGTTTAATAATACTTACAATCAGGCACATTTTGTTACCTTTGCCCCAATTATTTGTGATGCTAATTAGATGTGTCTTGATGGGCTTGGTGTGCAAGTAAATAACTGTTTATAAAAGGTCAAACTACTTTGCTTAACACCCTGCCATGTAGAAGGGCTCTGTGTCAGAATATTTAAATATAGTTAATAGAATTCAAACATGGCGTTTTTACCTTAGTTCGTCTTTATTTAGTCAAGATTTATCAAACTAATTGGAAAATGGTGGGTGTTCAATAAGAGCGCCCAGCTCCCTTTGTCCACCGGTCCCCACAGGCAGCTTAATCCAGCCCCAGTGCTGCGTTTCATGAGTAATTAGCTTTTGTCCTTCTAGAATAACCTTGAAGCAAAGTCCTTTCACAGCTGATCACCAGAAATTTTCAATTCAGAGTCTTTAATTTGTACATCTTAGCCCTGCATGCATCAACATCCAAGATAAGGATTGGAGAATGGTACCAATACATATTGCTTTAGATGTCATATACAGTTAGGTGAATGTGTTGGGAGCAATATGGAG